AAGGGCACTCATTTGGGGTCTTCCAAAATGCATTGCATTAATTGAGCATTACACTCCAACTGAATGGCATCAAGTTGATTCTGACTCAAAGTGAATGTGCTTGGTATGATTCTTCTGTTCATCATTTTTGTGACTTCTACCCAATCACAGGCTCCTGTCCTTCTAAACAGTGAGAGAATACATGTGTGTTTGTTTAAATCATCCATTTATAGTGTTTCTGTTACAACAGCAACAGGTAAGGAAGACAGCATCTAAAATGAAAACTGCACTGGATGAATTAGGAGCAAATAGAAATTATTTCTTAATAAGTAAAATTGAGGCCATAGCAATGAAAACTCTATAAAATGGAACACAGCATTAAAAAGTAATAATGACTTTAAAACAGAAAATGAATAGAATTTGTAGCCTGCCAAAAAATATCAAGTGGTATAACACCTCAGAGGGATAAATGAAGAAGTCTAGATAAGAAAATCTTTTGAAAAATAAAAACTAGGGGGTGGAGTGGGGAGGGGGCAAAGAAGAAAAAGAAAAGCTGATATCTGAAATTTGATTAAACCTAGAGATGATCAATCTATATCATTAATATCACATGGAAGTAAAATCATGACTAAGATCATTCAACAATTGTTTCAGCAGTGCATCAACAGGAAGCTGCCAGATTTCACACTGGATTCAGAAGAGGACCTGGAATGAAGGCTACCATTGCTGACATCAGATGGCTCTTGGGTGAAAGCAGACAATATCATAAATATATGTTCTTGTGTTTTATAAACCATGCAAAGGCATTTGGCTATGTGGATCATAACAAGCCAGGGAATGCATTGAGAATAATAAGAATTCCAAAAATGTGATTATGCACATGCAAATGCACATGTATGAGGATCAAGTGACAGTTCTGCCAACAGAACAAGGGAATACTGTATAGTTTAAAATCAGGAAATATATACATCAGAGTTATAGCCTTTCACCATTCTTACTCAATCAGTATGTTGAGCAAATAACTCGAGAACCCTGACTAAATGCAGAAGGATGGGAGTAAGGTGGGGAGGATGAAGCATTAGGTTTAGAGGAAGTCTTATTAACAACCTGTGAAATGTAGATGCCGCAACCTTGCTTGCTGAAAGCAAGGACAGGAAGCACTTGGTGATGAAGATCCAGGACTGCAGTCTTCAATACAAATTACAATTCCACGTAAAGAAACCCAAAATCCTCAGAACTCAGCCAATAAGTTACATCATGATCAATGGAAGTAAGATGGAAATTCTCAAGGGTTTCATCCTGCTAGAAACCACAATCAATGATCACAAAAGAAGCAGTCAGTAAATCAAACAACACATTGCCTTAGCTAAATGTGCTGCAGAAGATCTCTAGAATTTGAAGATCAAGGACATCATTTTGAAGGACTAAGTCCTTAACCAAGCCATGGTTTTTTCCCCAATTGTCTCATAGATCATGTGATAATTGGACATTGAATAGGGAAGATTGAAGAAGAATCGAAGCATTTGAATTATAGTGCTGGTGAAGAATATTGAAAGTACCATGGATTGCCAAAAGAACAAATCAATCTGTCTTGAAAGAAGTACAACCAAAATGCTCCTTAGAAGGAAGGACGGTGAGACTTCGTCTCACATATCTCGCATAAGCTATCTGGAGAGGCAAGGCCCTGGAAGGGACATCATGCTTGATGAAGTAGACAGGCAGCAATAAAAGAGCAAGACCCTCAATGATATAGATTGAGACAGGGGTTAGAGCCATGGCTTCGAGTGTAGGAACACTTGTGAGGATGACAGGATGGGGCAGTGCTTCGTTTTCGTGTACATAAAGTCTCTGTGTGTCGGACTGGACTCCATGACACCCAACAACAATGACAATCCAATAAATTCAACACAGCCCGAGGAAAAGAAACATAAAGAAAAGTGACCAATCACACACACACACTGATGAGAACTTGTGATAGAGAAAGGAGCCCTGGTGGCCTCACTTTGGACTGCAACTAAATGACCAGCATTTTAAAGCCACCAGCTGCTCCCTGGAGAAACAAGGGCTTTTCTACACCCTTACAGTCTCGGGAACCCAACAGGGCCGTTAGAGTTGCTATGAGTCGATATTGACTGAACAACTGTGAGTCCGGTATTT